TTCTCTTCTGTTTCTTGAATATTCTTATTAAATTTGTCTTCCCATTTATTCTCCAAACTTTTACTGTTTTCTTCCAATTTATTTTCCAAACGTTTACTGCTTTCTTCCAATTCACGTTTCAAACTTTTACTATTTTCTTCCAATTTTTCTTCAAATTTATTTTCCAATCTTTTACTGTTTTCTTCCAATTTATTTTCCAAACTTTTACTATTTTCTTCCAATTTATTTTCTAAACTTTTACTGTTTTCTTCCAATTTATTTTCCAAACTTTTACTGTTTTCTTCCAATTCACGTTTCAAACTTTTACTGTTTTCTTCCAATTCACGTTTCAGGATTTGCGACAATTCGTCTTCGAAAAGGAACGTTTCAGGATCATGGCCATCCTTTTTCAACGCCTCCGCGAGCCGCCACTGAAGTTCCGTTTTGTTACCGCTTGTCGCTTCATCCCGTTCTTCCAATTCTCTTCTTAACTCGGCTACTTTCAATTCGTACAACTTCTTTGCCATTGTAATGTCTTTTACTCAACCCCACACCTGACACCAGTTGTAATGTTCGTGGGTTTAACAAATTAAATTTCAAGAAGAAAACTATTCATTTACACTAATTACTATTGAACATAAAAACACTATTAAATTTTTACTACTTCGGTAATTATTCTATTTATTTACAGTACTGTTACTATTCACTGTCCTATTTATTTCACTTCTATCACTTTCAATTTATTTTTGAACAGTTTAATTGCTTTCCCGGAATGCAGGTACGACACACACGTAACTTAATTGTAAATTTTACAACTTAATTCGCGTCTCCTCAGCTTTTGTCGATTTTAAAGATATCAGATTGCAGTATTTCATGAAGACATGGGCCCAAGGCAATCCCTGTGAACCGTTTGTATGGGGGTGTTAAGCTTCTCGAACAATGTTATTTGTCCCTGTAATGGCCCGGTACGAGTTTTTTTCACAGCGCAAATTAAATAATGTTTAATATAGTTTTGGGTAAATGTTCGCAGTCGTGGAAACCAAAAATGAGATCGTATAGGACTAACTGTCTTGCCGACATCAACATGACATTCGTCATGAAATAAACGTAAAACACCAAGTCAACTTTGTCGGGGTACAAAATATCGCAAAATTTTGCCTTTGTTTGGTAATATTTCTTGATGATAAAGCAAACCATCTTTTTCAAGATACTGGTTGGAATCTAATTTTCCTTCTTGTAAATCTTTTAACATTTGCTGAACTTCCGAATTTCCGCTCTGTTCAACATCAACATGTGTTGATTCGTGGCTATCAACACATTCTGAGCACCGAAATGGGATTTCGAATAAATTTTCTAAAATATCCTTTAACTGACATATTTGTTTAATATTAGTAGGAGTAGGAAGTTTAGCCAACGCTTTGATTTTCCGCGCACTTGGTCTAATTCTTCCTTCTTCGTAAACCTTTCGTCCTAGATATTCGATTGTGTTTCTTTTTTTTATGATGTATGTAATAAAAATAGAAATTCTACATTGTTTTCGCGGTTACATCACATACCTTTACTATATATTAGCACAGAATTACTAACTTCCAAGATCTTGTACATAAATACTTTCTTAATACTTCTCAGTCCTCATCACAGTTACAATAAAATAAATAAAATCATAAAATGTAAAAATGGTAGTACTCATTTATTAGTAGTATCATTTATTAAACCAACCAGGTTATAAACGTATTTACAAAAAATAATAAAAACTATCACAAACCGAAATACCTTAAAATCATTAGTGCTTACCATTTAAACTAACTAAAAGAAATTATTAAATCTTAAACCATCACCTAAACTTTTAAATTTAAATAATAGATGAAAACCAAATTATATTCTTCCTTCCTTTTTCCCTCTGTTGTATTTTTTAAAGTTTTCTTTAATATGGTTAGTCCACTACCATCCTCTCTTATCAATTCAATACTTCATCTACTAACGTTCCTTCCTCGCATCCATCGACGTTTACTAATGGACATGCCTTACTGGGTAGAATTGTAGTACAACAAAAGAAAGAGATGGAAGGAAGTTTAGGACAATATCCATCTCTCTCACGACAGTGCGTAAGCGTATCATGAAAGAGATAGCACTAGTCCGAAACCATATGCCATCTCCCTCATTTTTCGAGCCAAGAAATTATTACGACATACGACTAAGGCACGTCCATTAATATATGTCTATGCTTGCACTCACCTAACATGTATAAGATTCTCATCTTTTACTCCACATAGTTTACATTTTCTTTCTTCTTCTTTCGTCCAATACTTGCATCCTTTTACATTCATTTCCTACTCTAAATCTAGCCAGCATATTTATTTCTCTTCCTCTTCCTAAATATCTTGGCATTAATCTCCCTGCCAATCATACCATAACATATATCTTAAACCTATCGCGTACTTGGATTCGTCTATTTTCATTAAGTCCTTCCTTCTTATTTCGTCACATCTCTTTTTAACAATTTATACCTATTTTGTCTTCCTATATCCATATTCTCTCTCTCCAATATACATGTCTTAAAAAAATTAAATAAGCTACAAAACGCTTGAAACAACAAATTCATAGAACATTGTGTCCATAAACTGCAATGTGTTAAAATGTGACAGAATATTTCGTTTTATTTTACTCCTGGTACAGGCGCGATGTATAGCAGATACAATACGATTCCTTTCCAGTATGGAGTGTAGAGATAAGGATAAGGAGAACTATCTCATATGGGGGAATGTTGAAAGGAATCCCACTATGAACAGTAAATAACAGTTCAAAAACCCTCTAAAATGGCGCTAGCGTAGGCATATGGTATGATATTAATGTAGCAATCTCGAAACTACTAGCGCCGGCATCAACTTCTGAGAGCACAAGTCCTGGCTACGCGGACGACCTCGCCCTTATGTCGACTTCCCTTAACGACCAACAACATCTCGTCCGAATGGTCGACCGTTTCGCCCAAGCAAGAGGCATGGAACTCAATGCCAACAAATGCAGCGTCAATTTACTCCCAGCTAGGAAAAATTCTACACCTTTACCAAGAGCCGTGTGTATATTGGCGCTGAACCTATACCCTAAATTGCCCCAGAAGAAGCTCTTCAAATACCTTGGGTTCCGATTCCATCCCACGGGAACTCAGACCCAGACACCCAGCCCCACCGACATCTCCACAGCTCTGCATCGTATCAAAAACGTCCCGTTGAAGCCGTGGCAAAAACTGGAACTGATATCGACTTACCTTCTTCTCAAGTTCTTTTATCAGTTTCAGATCCCTTCTGTATCCGGTCGAGCACTAGATCTGGTAGACAAAGTCATCCGCCGTACAGTAAAAGCAATCCTCCACCTGACCTCGTCAACGTGCAACGCCTTCCTGTACGCCGAAACCAAGGCTGGCAAGTTTGGACTTCCCTGCTTTGGAGCCCGCATGCCAGACATCCTCCTTAAGCGCCTTCACAACCTCACACAGCGCGACGATCCACAGCTTCTTCCCATACTGTATTCGGCACACGTGCTCAACTTGCTGAACGCCTCGCTAACCATATGGATTACAGAGGGAGCAACGGGGCGAAACCGTCTTGAAGCATCCGCCACATGCTCCGAATTGGTCACACATTCTTCACCGCCACAAGTTACCAACTGGATCCGATCCCCTTCATCCTTCCGGGATGGATCCACCTACATCAAGGCCAATCAACTCCCAGCTGGGTTCCTACCAACATTGGGAAGCCTCCACAACCAACGCCTCCCCTTTGAACAACGCCGCTGCAGAGCCGGTTGTCGTGCCGTGCAAACCACCTGCCACATTCTCCAAAGACGTCCACTAATGCATTACGAGCGCATAAGGAGACACGACAACCTGGTGGGGATCCTCTCAGATGCAGCTAAAAAGAAGAGCTGGGAAACCAGGAGCGAACCAAGGTTCTGGACACCCGACAGCCGTCAACGGAAACCGGACCTTCTGTTCGTGAAGGACACCACCGCCATCGTTGCCGACGTGGGCGTTTCATGGGAGCGTCCAGAGCCGCTCAACTTTGCCAACAACCACAAAGTTGCGACGTATTCAGATACCAACTTCCTAGATACCGTCAAGGCTTCTCTCCCCGACCGCCCCCTACACATACATGCCCTCATCGTGGGAACCCGCGGCACCTGGTGCTCCAGGAACGACACCTTTCTGGAGGCCCTAGGCGTCAACAGATCCATCATCTCCAACCTCGTCTGCTTCACTATCCGAGGAGGAATTTTCTCCCACTCGTCATTAAACAGGATTGTTTGGCAACTATGACACCCTTCTCCCGTCATCCATCGATACGTATAAAACATCTAATAAAATACTGTGTACTAATAAAAACATACCGCTCAGCGCACAATCTCTTCCCCACTCCCATTACAATCATAAAAACACTCTGTAATAAAAATTTCCTTGAAACCTCCAAACCTCAACTATTTACGTAGTTTAAAGTAATTTTGTCCTTGTTAATTTTTCTATCCTAATCTAATAATTTTTGGCGCATGATTTGAAATTTGCCCTATTGTTACTGTGACGTCACCCTAATTTAACGCACTTTGACGGACACTTTTTCACTACAGAGATAGTACTCCTTACCCATAGACATATATTAATGGACGTGCCTTAGCCGTATATCGTAATAATTTCTTGGCTCGAAAAGTGAGGGAGATGACGTATGGTTTTGGACTAGTGCTATCTCTTTCATGACACGCTTACGCACTATCGTGAGAGAGATGAATATTGTCCGAAACTTCGTTCCATATCTTTCTTTTGTTGTACCGCAATTCTGACCGCTAAGGCATGTCCATTAGTAAACGCGATGGCCTTAGCCGTATGTCGTTGTAATAATATTTCTTGGCTCGAAAAGTGAAGGAGATGGCGTATGGTTTCGGACTAGTCTATCTCTTTCATGACACGCTCACGCACTATCGTGAGAGAGATGGATATTGTCCGAAACGTCGTTCCGTCTCTTTCTTTTGTTGTATCACAATTCTGACCGGTAAGCATGTCCATTAGTAAACGTCGATGTCCTTACCTCTACCCAGGGTATGAATTGTCGAGCGCGAGAGACACCTAAGTTTACCCTACGTAAGTTTTTAAATTTTTTAAATTACCTAAATCGACATTATCGACATACTACGCGACATACATTTTACTGAAACGACAACAGATGATGCGACGGCGGTTGCGATTATCGGAGGAGTTCCCCAGTAGTTGTGGCGTTATTGAGCAATAGTAAATAATATTTTAACATTTTTCTGAAAAGTACTTTTACCTATCCTGAAAGTAAGTAATATATTAAGTACTTCAATCATGCTTTACAATAAGTAAAGAAAGGATGTTTTCTGCCCAACACAGAAAAACCGTGATGTACAGTCTACACTATTACGGGGTCAAATTAATTTGAAATAGATTATACAGCTCCTGCAGGAGTTAAAGGTCAAGAAGCCGCTTTCCATTTTCCTGAAGTAACAGCGGTTTCAACGAAAGTGGCAGGTATTGTAATTTGTTGTTGTGAAACTTAAGTTCTAAAAAAAAATGTTTTGTAGAACTTCTTCTGGTAGAGGAATAGAAGCAGACGGAATTGCCCCATTAAAAGATGAAAAAGTACTGCATCCAGTGAAAACATATGACGGGAAAAGAAGAATTGTTTCAACTGCAGGTAGTTATGCAGATAACAGTTTCAAATATCCAAAACATATATAATTATTTGTTATAGAAAGTACACTCCCAATGGACAATACAGAAGCTAGTATTTCTGCAGTTTCTGAATCGTTAGCACCCCCTGTAGAAGCAGGAAGCAGTACTAAATTAGGTAAAGAACAATTTCTTTGTTCATACAAATATACCTGTATTAGTATCTATATTTTAATTAATTGATGTTTGCTATTTACTCGTATATTGTGCTAATTATATTTATTACTGCATTTATACTTTGTTATTAAATTTGTTAATTTTATTTTTGTTTTTTTTTTCAATTTCCATTTAAAACAAAAAAAAATAAAATTTGGTGTAATTTTGAAATGCGCGCCTTTGGTTACGCTTCATAGTTTGATGTATAGATGGCAGTGAAATTCGAAGTTTTCTTTACCAATAACATTTATATATATATTCCAAGTATTGTCTACTAATGTGGGGTAAACTTAGATGTCATTACTATCGTCCAAATCTCCAGAGTTTTACATCTATTTACCTAGTCTAGGGCCTCTACCAACCATACTTTCCAGATACACGAAGTGTATTCAATTCTATGACCAAAGCTCATTATGCTTTTGCAACCTTTCGATAAGTAATTTGTTCTTTCTGATCTACGTATCATAGTATCATATATGATATGAATATATCTCTAATACTCTAATCCTAGACTACTCTAATCATAGATAAAAGAAATATATACTAACTTTAATTTATGCCATGTCTATGGCATGGTCTATGACACGTAAGCAAATATGCATAAAAGCATAATGAGCATAAAACAAGCGTAAAATAAAATGGAAACTTATACGACCCGTTTAAGCTTTAGTTAAGCAGATACCCAAAAACGTGAAATTATTCAAAATAATTAACAAGTTTTGTGAACATTGCTCTACAAGGTCGTTAACGTTATTATATCTTTCCTTTAATTCACATGAAAATGACCACTTTAAGGCAAAAACAAAAAAGTAAGATGATACTAAATTTTCAAACTATAAATCTTATCTAAAAATTTTAGATGCTTTAAAGCAAATGTTGAATTTAAACCAGCCACTTTCAAAATTAGGAAACTCTGAACCTATTTGGAAGGTGTTAATTTATGATAGAATTGGTCAGGATATAATATCACCACTTATATCAATTAAGGAACTTCGTGAGATGGGAGTAACTTTACACGTGTAAGCTTTCTTGTAAAGTTACTAAATGTTAGAATAAAATAAACTGCATATTAAATTGTAGGCAGCTTCATTCTGACAGGGATCCTATTCCTGAAGTACCCGCTGTTTATTTTTGTATACCTTCAGATGAAAATTTAGGAAGGATTAGTCAAGATTTTCATAGAGGCATTTATGATGCTTACCATTTAAATTTTATATCTCCAATCAGTAGACAGAAATTGGAAGATTTAGCAGCTTCAGCATTGCAAGCAAACTGTGTTGGAAACATTCAAAAAGTAGGCTACTTTGAACATATGGATTACAAAATTACCTAACAGTAATTTTTCAGGTTTATGATCAGTATATTAATTTTATTTCTTTGGAAGATGATTTATTTATTTTGAAACATCAAAATAGTGATTCTTTATCATACTATGGTTTGTTTTATTTCATTTTTTCGTTAATTATTTAATATATCTGGATAATTATTACAGCAATAAACAGAGGTGATATTAAAGATACTGAAATGGATGAAATAATGAATAACATAGTTGATAGTTTGTTCTCAGTATTTGTTACAATGGGTATGTAGGTTGTAAATCATATACTTTCTCCTGATACTTATATTCTGCAGGAACGGTCCCAATAATTCGAAGCCCAAAGGGTAATGCAGCAGACATGGTGGCCAAAAAATTAGATAAAAAATTAAGGGATAATTTGTTTGATGCGAGAAATAATTTGTTCCATTCTGATGCTCAGACAGGTTGTTTTAATTTTCAAAGGCCAATTTTAATCATTTTGGACAGAAATGTAGATATGGCCACACCTTTACATCACACTTGGACTTACCAAGCATTAGCGCATGATGTTTTAGACTTAACCCTTAATAGGGTTGTAATTGAAGAGAAAACATCTGCTGGAGGTAAAAGTTTATTTTAGTAGTAATACTAAACTTACATGTTTTCCACCGATTACATTTCTAGGTACTAGAGCAAAAACAAGACCTTACGAACTTGATGGAAAAGACAAGTTTTGGATGAATTACAAAGGTTCTCCATTCCCCATGGTAGCCGAAGCTATCCAAGAAGAATTGGAGCAGTATAAATCATCTGAAGATGAAGTTAAAAAATTAAAAACATCGATGGGAATTGATAACGAAAGCGACCTCGCTATTTCCATGGTTTCTGATAATACAGCACGAATTACATCAGCTGTTAATTCATTGCCACAACTTTTAGAGAAGAAACGGCTAATAGATATGCATACAACAGTAGCTACAGGTTTGGAGAAAATATTTTTGTCTACTGTAATTAGGATTTCATTAATTTTTTCTTTTCTTTTCAAAGAAATTTTGAATTTCATAAAGAAACGGAAATTAGACACATTCTTTGAATTCGAAGAGAAGATTCTTAGTAAAGTAAATGTTGATAAAGGCCTATTAGAAATTTTAAATGATCCTAATGTGGGAACAACTGAAGACAAATTGAGGTTATTTTTAATTTATTACATTTACACTCCTCATGTATCAGAGACGGATTTGAAAAAGTACGAAGCAGCACTTATGGAAGCAGGTTGTGATCTTTCATCAATAGCGTATATTAAAAGATGGAGGTAGAGCACAACCTTCAGTATTTCAAAATTGTTCAAATTAAATATATTATTTCACAGGAGCTATACAAAAATGTCATCAGCAAGTCTTAATCAATATGAAGGAGCCGGAACTAAAACAGTCAATATGTTTTCAAAACTAGTATCACAGGGTTCGTCATTTGTCATGGAAGGAGTTAAAAATTTGGTTGTTAAGAAGCATGTAATGAAAGTGTAACTTTATTACTTTCATTATCTTTTATTTATTAATTTGTTTCAGAACTTGCCTGTAACAAAAATTGTAGACCATCTGATGGATTTCAAAAATAGTCCTGAAATGGAAGAGTACAATTATTTAGATCCTAAGCAATTAAAAGTGACAGATATTCCTAGAAATAGGTCTCCATTTCAAGATGCTTTTGTATTTATCATTGGTGGAGGCAATTACATTGAATATCAAAATTTAGTTGATTATGCAAAGGTAAAATAACCTAATGCCTATTGTTTAAGTTTCAATCTCAAAATTTCATATATCATGTACTGATAAGATTCTTTTTAGGCAAAAACTTCTTCAGGAAATGTAAAAAGAGTAATTTATGGAACAACAACTTTAACTAATGCAAAACTATTTCTTAAACAATTGTCTTTGTTGGGGCAGGAAATATCCTAGTATTTTTTTTTTAGTTTTTATAGCTTCATACACTCCAGGATATTTTAACAACTGTATCTTACTTTTATATATATATATGTATGTATACATGTACATGGTTAGGTCATATTTATTAAAAGTTAGTATTTTTATAAATCTATTTTCAATTATTTTTATTTATAATATAAAAAGGAAAAACTTTCAAAAGAGATTTTACAGCTAACAATCGTGTTGTATTAGATGTTTTTACAATGCTTTTATATGAAACAAGCGGTTCCCAAAAAGGGGCACCAAGGGGGACTACTACTAGTTTTGTGTTTTTGACTGGAATATTTCCTGGTACTTTAAAGTCGGCTATCTTGATAATAGTTTTTAGCCTAACGCAGGGTATGAAATGTCGAGCGTCAGCGACACCTAAGTTTACCCCACGAAAGTTTTTAAATTTTTTAAATTACCAAAATCGGCATACATTTTAGAGAAACGACAAACGACGACGGTTGTGATTACCGGCGGAATTCCGCATTAGTTATCTGTTAAGTAAGATGATCCCAAGTGTTAGACAAAGTTCAGATGCTCCTTACCTCTCTATCTTCCATAGTACAAACCTATTACCTATAGTACAAACCATCATGACGTTTACTAATGGACATGCCTTAGCGGTCAGAATTGTGGTACAATAAAAGAAAGAGATGGAATGAAGTTTCGGATGGTTTCGGACAATATTCATCTCTCTCACGATAATACGTAGGCGTGTCATGAAAGAGATAGCACTAGTCCGAAACCATACGCTGTCTCCTTCACTTTTCCAGCCAAGAAATTATTACAACGACATACGGCTAAGGCACGTCCGTTAATATATGTCTATGGTACAAACTGCTGATACAATTGAGTGTAACCATGGATAAGGTGTATATCATAGATAAGAGATTATAGTGTATCAGCCATAGACATATATTAATGGACATTCCTTAGCCGTATGTCGTTGTAATAATTACATGGCTCGAAAAGTGCGGGAGATGGCTTATGGTTTCGGACTAGTGCTATCTCTTTTATGACACGTTTACCCATTATCGTGAGAGAGATGGATATTGTCCGAAACTTCGTTCCATCTCTTTCTTGTGTTGTACCACAATTCTGACTGCTAAGGTATGTCCATTAGTAAACGTCGATGATATCAGCTTATCCCATTGAACTAGACTACAGATACTGGAACGCGTACGCTATGTTAAATTTGTGAGCGCAAGTGTGCGAATAGCTCCGCTGCTGCGGAGTGGGATACCATCTCTCTTTCACACACAGGCGCTTATGAGTCAATATCGGAAGTCAGGTGAAAATGAGGCAGGTGTGCGATACCCGTGTATGATTTTACATTGCCGTGCGGTATCTTTATCGCAGAAATTATTAACAAATTATTGGCGTGTTTTAAAATTTGTTAAAAAGCAATAAATTCATTAGAAATAATTTTTATTGTGACCTAGTACAAACAAAACAATACAATTAATCCGAAAAATTTCTAATTTTAATTAACTAAATTATTCTAATTAAATTAAAGTATTGTAATTAAGTTAATAAAATATTTTAATAAATTAAACATGATAAAGTAATATTTTTTTATGTGAGCTATGTCTAATGTTACATTTATCGCCCAATTATTGAGGTCTCTTTTTTTGGCGTACTTTTTCAGTGGAAATTTAAAATAAATATATGTGTAGAACTAATATACTAATAATTAACAAGGTAATTATCCTTATTTTTCATTAAAATTTTCGCGTACACATGTACCCATAATGCAGGTTAAATTATATTTCATTGTTTTAATCTCTAATTAATACTTATTTATGGAATTTTATGTTTTCATTGGATCTCCATTCATTTGTGCACCTATATGTACAACAATATTTAACCATTTCAACTAATTACTTTAAAAAACTAAAAAAATTAACAACACAGTCTAAATAACACCTCTATTTACGTTAGTACGACGCAGACAGATAACCACGCCACAGCGTCTGACCTTGTCTAACACTTGGGATCAACTTTTTCAACAGCTTCCCATAAGCGCGCTCATTCCAGTGTTCCCCTCCACTTCAATGGCTTATGCTGTTGTAATTTTGAAATCACAAATTGTGTGAAACGGAACGTCTGCCACAATGTCACAAGCAGTTACGTAAACGGATTCTATATAAAAATTTATTTATTTATTTATCGGCGGGCAGAACCCTTTTACATAAAACAATAATTGAGAAAACCAAATATTTATTTTATAATTGAACAAATACTTATAACAAAAACATAAAGAGAATTTATTACCCAAGTTTTTTTTTCCGCAGCATCCATACTGATTTAGGTTATTATGTATACAAATATCTAGGGACTCTAAGGACTAATAAATATTGTAATAGTGCTTAAAAAAGGCATGTTAGATATTTGTGTCAGTTTTTTTTACAAAAAATCTTGATTAAAATTTATAGTTAATATTTGTCTAATAGATAAGAAATTAAATTGCTACTGGGTGTTGCACGATACCACACACCTTAACTCTGTATTTTTAAATAATAATACAAATTATAATAAATTTTTTATTGATTAATAAGTAGAAATTAATCAGATAAAAGTATGTGAGAAAATGTCACAATAATGTGAAAAAATTCAATACCCGCTTATGGGGAAAAGGGTAGTTTTCTATTCCATATGGGGGAATTGAAAATGAAAAGTTGGCGACACTAGATTTTGCGTATAGCCTGCCTACGTAGCTTAAACCATTGTAAAACATGGCCCTTTGTGTATCTATTATCTATGAACATATAGCCATAATAAGGCGGCCATTGTATGTAATCAGCTGATTTGTTGATTAATGTTTTGATTCAAATAAACAAAGATTGATAATTCTATTATTATTTAATAAAAAATTCGTTATGTTAAACATCTTATTTTAATTATAGTATCTGGATATGGAATGTGTAAAAGGAAAATCTGAACAAGTTAGAATTTTTTGCGTGTAATATATTTCTTAAATATTGTCTATTTATAATTGTTTTAGAAAAAGAAACGAAATCGAAATAGATTTCCGGCAGATTTTGATGAAGTAAAACAAAATGTAAAAGATGCACAGTTTGTAACTAATAAGGACAAAGAATTTCTAACAAAGGATGTAACTAACTTTAGTTCAAGTTTAAGAATAGAAACAACCTCAGAACTGCCAGCAGAATTAAATAAAAGTGCATGCCACTTAATGGGAAAAGAGATAAGTAACTTGAAAATTAATAAACAGAGTAATTTATCAAGTTCTTCATCCAAAGATAGTTATAATGTAATTGATGTAGTTCCTCCACTAGTAGTTTTGAACAATGATGAGTTATCTAGAAATATGTATAATACTGCTAAGCCAGAGTCAAATGAAAATTTACAGGATTTAACTATGAAACAATCAAATCCTGAAGTATCTTATAAATTTGATAAGATTTTACAAATGAATAAACGTATCTTAGATGATATAACAAAAAATGATGAAATATCTATATTTGTGACAAATTACGGCACAGAAAGTGCATGCATAAGACCTTTTACAGAGTCACAATTAACTTCTCTATATATGAATATTGAATTGGAGTCTGTGGATCAGTTTGTTTGTGATTTTATCGAAGCTGAACTTAAAGGAACACTAAAGAAACATCGCCTGTATGAACTGCTTGATAATTACCTTCTTATCAGAAATAAAATTACAGGAAATACGTTAGAGTTTGAACAACTAAGAAAAGAGTACAAGGAATCTTTGGATTCTCTTTGGAGTATCGAAACTGCAATGATTAGTGGAAGAGCAGAGTGTCTAGATGGAAATATAGTAACTGCAACCCATACTTACAACAAAGCTATTTTTCATAGGCCTGCTTTTCAAACAGTTTGCAGAATTCTAAATTCTGTAAGGAAGCTTGCAGCTGAATATCATGTATTGTACTCTTATTCTTCTGAAGTCTTGAAATTACAAGTAGTTACATTTATCTATATAATCTACCAATTTTAGTTTAAATCATTCTATTTTTTAGATTGATGCTTATTTACAAACATTAATTAATAATTGTATGAAATTTGTTCGTATGTCTCAATCGCCTATTGCTCTGACAACTCAGATACCTCCTTCTGAATTGGTTCCTCATATAAATGAATTACGACTTTGTATATCTATATTATTTTCTTTTCAAAGAAGGCTTGTAAAAGATTCTGTCTTTGTAGAGGAGACAAGAAAATGGTTAACAAGAGTTGTTGCTATTCTTTTAAGAATAGCAAATTGGCAGGATCACATGTTTATTCTTAATCATGTCCTTAGGTAGCTATTGGCAATCTGTTTTGTATCTTTTTTGCAATATTAATTATTTTAGGTGTCCTGCAGGGGTCGGATCCTGGGCCACAAATTTTATTCAAGCTCCTCTTTCTGAACAAAATGTTGACTCACCATTTAATAGTATTGAAATTAATCACATAATTTCTGTTTTATCTGTTATTCTTAGACCAGTTGAAAAACGCGAACAATTTTTAGAACAAGTAAGATACAATAATGTATTTTAATATACCTATTTAAATTTATTTATTACTAGTTTTCTCAAAGTGAAGATGTGATGGGTGAAAATTTATGGATTTTAGTCGATTCTGATGGTGAAGAAGATGAAGATTCGGTTCTTCCTGCCCTAAGAGAAAATGATTTGGTGCAAATTATGAATCAGCTTCCTCTGGACAATATGTTTAGAAAAATACTAAATATACAATCCAAGAATGGCACTGTAAATATTTGTTATATTTTCTATTACTAATAATTACAAAAATATTTTTTTTATTTGTTAGGATCATTATGACAACTCTCTAGTTTCTGAGCATCATATTCTACGATTTTTTGCATTTGGTACAAAATTGATTGTGATCTTAAGAAGAGGCTTGGAAACGTATAATCAATCTCGTTATAATCAATTCAGTAAAAGACTGTGTCGTTTCATGAGACACGTTGTCCAATTTGCTACAGATCAGTGGGAAAATTTTAAAAGAAATCAAAATTTGGATGATTCGTCTATGCTCCTACGCCTCCAAGTAGAATATGACGCCTTTTTCCTCAGGGCAACTCATTATCTGTATTCATCCCAGAAATTGGGAGCTTGGCAATTTTTAGGTGTTTATTAATTATCAATTATTAAAAAGTAATACATGTATTTGTCTTATTTTTATGCACTTCAGCTGTGGTTCCATATCACATGGTTTCAATTAAGACTTTGTGGAAAATATTTTATCTATTGCATAGTTGCGACACTAAAGAAGATATCATTTTGGACCCAACTGATCCTACTGATTTCAGCCAACAATTATGGCAGAAATCTTTACGTCTGGAATTTGAAGAGAAATTAAATAATATGATCGATGCAGAATCTTATTATTTATTAAACACATTCACAAATATGGCTTTGGCCCGTGGAGAAGAAGATTTAGATTTTATTGAGGCTGCAGTTTTGGACTTGTTGGAGGTAATACTACAGTCTTCTTATCATATGGTTAGTTAATTTTTTTTATCTATTTGAAGGTTGGTTTTATAACTGAAGCAACACGTGAATCATGCTCAAAGAACGCTCGTATTTTACTTACCTATATTACTTCGAAATATCCTCATTTTATGTCTAATATTTTGGATACGATTAATAGAAACAAAAATAAAATAACTGATATGTTTCTGTACCTGTATGAAGAGCTTCCCTTATCTGTATGGCGACCTAGCAGAAATGATATTGAATTAATATCCACATGGATTCTTCACATGCCATTTTCTTCTGATGAAAATCGCTTGGCTCGTATGATTATTTCCCGTTTGAATTGGGACTTCAACGATAGTGGATGTTTGTTTTTGCCCCATAAAATACACATAGATGTAGCTTTGCTCATAGCCCAAGCAGTTGATAAAGATGAAGCTTGGCTACAGTGGGCATGGAAGATTATTTTGAAATTAAAACTTCATTACAATGACATGGGATTTACCGATTTGTCTAATATACCTGACGTTGTAAATTTGGATGTTGTTTACAAAGGTGATTTACAATCTCTTTTTCTATTACTGGTAATTTCAACGTTATTTGTAGGTATCCATCAAAATAAACCTTTTGCGTCCCTTCTTGCGTTGCTCATTTCAAATTGGGGTCACCTAGTGCCACTGGTTTGTTCGAAAGGACTTGCTCAGCTTCATATATTGTTCTCTAATCAGCAGCACTACGTTACAATTTTTGCGTTGTTCGTAATCGTGCCTCTATTTGTCGAATGCCAAGAACAACTGATAAATTCAGAGCATTTTCAAAACGTCCTTATCGGGCTTTTGAATGCTGAACGGGGTTATGTGAACATGGCCAAAAGCTTTATAGCACCTCAGTACTCCATTCTAGAGCAATTTGGAAATATGATTCAAACTCATATTGCAAATTATCGTAATTACAATCTCGATAATCCCAAATGTCTAGTACGATTATGGATTAATTCGTTAGTTTCTGTACCTGGGTGGAATAAGGATTACGGAGTTCTTTTTTTACTTGATGTTATTATAAAAGCTGTTTTTTGTCATGCCGATGCTTTACACGTTGCAACCAGTACTTTGAAAGATTTATTACAGGTAATTGTTTTCCTGTTTTACATTTTCTATGTAACTTGTTGATTGTTTCTTTTAATTCAGGCTTCTACTCCTCAAGATCATCCAGGAACAATTTCTTCAATATTTAAATGGGCGTCTTTATCAAACGCTCCCCAGGGATCTCTTTTGACATCCTCTAGTATTCCCAATTGCCCATTTTTAGCATATATATTAATTAACATCGAGTATGAAGAAAGAGAAGAGGCAACAGGGTTGTGGAAGGAAATTCTACTACAGCTTTGGATGCAGAAAGGAAAAGTTAACATCGATGCGGCCATTAAGGTAATCACAATTAAATGAAATATTTTTTCAGTCACGTTCTGCTTCTTCTTTTAGAAAGCTGCATCTATTAAAAGATTACCTTCTTTTACCTCTTCGTCACTGTGCATTTATCGCTGGGCTCAGCAAGCTTTGGATACACATGTTGCGCATCCAATATTACCTTTATTGTGGCAAAGATTTTTTTCTTTATATCTTGTCAGAATTCCTGTTTCGGGGTGAGTTTAATTTAATTTCAATTAATCTTTTTTACTATCATTTTTGCATTTAAATGTATAAAGTAAAACTGCAGACTGAAACAGCTTACAAACTGAAGCAAATCTATAAATCAAAAGATAACACATCTTTTTGTTGGCTACGTCAATATTAATGATACATGATAATTTGGGGCTGAAAATTTGAAATTACTTAAAAAAGTTTGTGGATTAAAGTGTACTACCTGATAATTTTATTGTCTTTATGGTTTTCTTTTGTGTCTCGTACTTCATTTCTATTCTTTAAATAATGAGTTCTTCAAGCCAAAAAAAAAAAAGAATCCTGACATTTATATTTATGGGTCACCCGAAAACACCTTCAAAAAGTCTTGAGCGACGAGCGACCCTTATAAATACACATTCGAAAATTTCAGAATACAGATTTTCAAATATATTCAATAATAACTTCTTGAGAAGAAAACTGATTGATTTTTTTTTGTTTTTGCTGAGCACAATTAAAACATTAAATTTACATACGCTCATAAAAGTAGCGAGATCAATAAAAAGAAACTTGGTTTTCTCGGCCACCTTATTATAGGTAAAGTAAATCCATTTTGTAAAGTTTTAATCATTTATTACAAAAAAAATACCGACCTAAATAAATAAATGAGTCAGACTTTTCGGGATCTATTAAATACGCATATAAAAATAAACGCACAAAATAATCCAGGAAACAAGAATGAACAACGCTATTATAGTTGGGACGTTCGTCAGACCGCTAGCCAAGGGTGGGATGCCACTTTCTCACAGAAAATTTATTGCAGACTTTGCCAATTTTGATCGAACTATACCGATTTGTTACATCTGTACGTAATAAGAATAAAATCGGTACTATAGATGCCCTACTGTCTCACCAGGGAAGGTATTTTAAAAGGATCAATATTCCTTTTATAAAATTTTATTCGGATATCAAATTTTGTCATGATAAATATGCAGTTTTTTTGCGAGAAAGGTCTGAATTGGTAGGAGGTGAAGGGCAGCTGTTCTCTTCTGTCTCCTCCCCTTGGTGACGCTCTTGCTTCCAAATATACTCATAAATTGTTGATATAATTTTTTGAATTTAATAATAAAATATTAATATTCTAAGGTAAAAGGCTGGTCTATTGTAGTAGGATTTTTTATCTTTTTCTAATTTATTGGAATCAAAAGTGTTTAATATTGAATTAGTCTTATATTGTTATTTGTAAGCACCACCCATGCTAATATTCCATAGATTCCAATACTCTGAAGGAAAACATTTATAGATGAATCGTCGTATATATTATTCATAAATTTTTATAACTTACAAATTTACAAAGTACTTACACGGAAACCATCCGAGGTGATATGTTAATCTACATCAAAAAAGATTAGATACCTACGTGTTTTTTTGCGGAAAATCATTTGTAAGAGGTGAAAGCAACTCCCGAAGTTGATACTTCATAAGGGTGATTTTGAGGTTTTACATATTTGTTATTGATATTTTCAAAAACAACCAAATGGACTAAATTCTACATGAGAAACGGTAAAAAGTGGCTGTAATTGTACATTTAAGAAACTAAAAGTAATATAATTTTGAAGAGTTGAAAATGAAAAAATTAATTACAAAAAATTTGTTGATTAGTTTTTAATTTTAATCAAGGGAGCGTAAGAAATACATGTCTGCATTTTTCAAAAAAACAGTTTAATAAATTAATTTATTCTTTAATTGTAATTTGTTTTGTAGTGCTGAAGAAAGTATCTGTGTCGGTACGAAATTTTTTCAAGGTGTTATTAATTTTAATTATTTAAAACGTATAAAGAAACATTTACAAGAAGCAATTGACTACTATAAAAAAGAAATGGATGAGACATCCAACGACGAGGAAGCGAAAGCCAAATGGCTTTCATGCGAGCAATGTTTTAAGTGCGTATTAAATGATAATTTAATAATTTATAACTAGGTATTTGGAATTATTATTCCTTTTATCTTTTAGAGTTTTTAAGGCTTATTCCTTGTGGTTAGAAGAACCTAGGTTGCAGGAAAGTAATTTACATTTGCCTGGATTACCACCTCAATATTTACCACATTACTTGGCTTTAATTTTACAAAGAGACCCTGTACGTTATATTTAGATTTTTTTCTATTAGAAAAAGCTTTTTTATAAAAAAAATGTCGTAGGCTCCATGGGTGGAGTTTGTGAATTTTGAAGAAATAAGTCGCGCACAAGAAAAATCGTTGCAATCTTGGAAGAATATTCTTTACAGGGAAAAGTCAAAGTATAATCAACCAACACCAAATTCAAGAAGTGGGATGGAAAGTGAAGATCCCGTTGAAAGAATGCTAAAACGATTGAACTCTTTTGATTTACCTAAGCCACCACCTGAAATAATGGTTTCTGATGTGTTAGTTGTACAGGAAAGCAATATTGAAAATAAGGAGAAAATGTTTAAATTTCTAGAACCACATTTTAAAATTATACAGCAATTCTCCCAGTAAGTTGAATTATATTATATAATTACTGCTAATTAGAGAAAAAACCGTTTTATTTATTACAGTAATTACGTGCTGAAGATATCAGAGCATAAAGCATTAGATTCGAGTTACAAAGAATTGGCACCACAGTTGTATCGATCGGTACTTCTTAAAATAAAAAAAAAAGTTAGTTGTAGTGGTTCAGGTAGCAATAGGTCCTGTACTGGAGGGGCGTTAATAACTCTTGAAATGCAGGTAAAGAAAAAATCCAAGATGATATTTTTTTTTTGAAAATGAATGTTTTAGGAAGCAAGGATAAATGAAAGATTAGACCATCAAATTCAGTCCAATAGAAAAGAATATGAATCAATACTTCATCGGTATTTTCAGGAGCCCCCTCAGGCTTTATGTGTAGCATCTGTGATCGTTCAAAAGATTGTAGAGTTAGTTTTTAGTGATAGATATTGGTTGGTCATTTATTTATAGTGTTTTGGTTTTATTTCTTTAGAATATTGCAAGTTCAACAGCAGCAGAATCCTCAATATTCAGAAATGGGAGTTGAGCTGTTTTATTATTTGGTATTCCTAATTGGCGAAGAAACCAATGCTTATATACCTGCCAGACACTTCATAACTACTTGTTTGGATAAACTTGGAAAGGTTTCATAAATTATTTAATTTCCTCTCAACATAGCTCTATTATCTATTCTTTAAACATTAGGCACACATTGTGGGAATTGATTATGAAACTCCGAGACTTTTGAATAAGATTATAGAAGACACGTCATTAAGTGGCTTGTTAACTCCTTATTTTTCTCCGACAAATTCCAGTACAGCCAATTTTCTTTATATGTATTCGACAGTGATCGAAAACATGAACAAAAAACTCGACGTCGTGTTCGGTGTTTTATCTAAAGTAAAATTGTAAGTAAATAAATTTCTTATTTTACTAAAATTTAAAATTATTTGCAGTTCGACATATCCGTTTGGCTGACGTTAAAAAAGCCAAAAATAAGCCAAAGAAATGAATTTATTGAATTAATTATAAAAGCTTTGGTAAAATTAGGCCATGAACCTCAAAAAGAGTACCAAATACTACATGAATTATTTCGAAAGCATCTGCTTTGTGTGTTTGAATTCCAGTTTCCAGAACATTATGGGGATGTTCTTACCCATCTGCTAAAGGCCTCAAGTCCGGGAGTTGATTCAGGATCTATTGCCCCCTCTGTATGGTTAGATGTTTTGAATTCACTGGCCACACCTGTTCAGTTAAAACAGACAGGTCCCGTAAGAGAACAGTTGCGTCAGTACGCTCAGAGACAGCACTTGTTGAGTTACCAGGATCTTTTGGACACCTTACGTTTGTTAACGAAACATTTTTCAGACGAAAGATTACAGTATGGGTTATATGGACTCTATCCTAAATATAGGGACTATGTGGACGTGTTTGTACTATTCTTGGGAATGATTGGACATGCCCTTATCGTAAGCGCAATGAATGTTCATTTGGGTGTGTTGGGGGATAAATTGTGCGAGATTTTGTGGCCCTACTTAAGGGATGTTTTCGCTCCTTGGATCGCCCCGTATTGGATGCAAAACGTTAAAGATAACATGCCTGCATGGATGCAGCAGTTAACAGACGATAGGGCAGTATTAACGCCCTGGATCCCCGCAGACGGACCGTATGCACAAAAAATGACGCATATGTTCTTCGAATGCCTTCAGTTTATTATACATACGTTACCAGGTATTTTTTTTATATATAACGTGTTTTTATTTTAAATTGTACGATATTTTTAGCTTGTAATAATATTTTGGGTTTTATTTGGCAATGGTACGCAACAAATTTTGCACATTCTGCTGTAAAAGATCATGTTTTGAACGTTGTTCATACCTCTTTTCTTGCCTTACCCTGGAACAATTACTGGCCTTCTACTGGTGAAGTGGAACTAATGTTAAAGGTAGTAAAATTACTTGGTACTTTACATTTTGAGATCACATAAATTGAAATAAATGTAGGTTGTTGACCAATATCTTCCCGACTGCCATGTTTTCTTGGGTTACATTTTTATCGAAGTGAAATGGTTAGATTGGTTAAGAGTTTTAGTTTCGAATTCTCCCATTCAGATAGCTATGAGAGTACACCAGTGTCTTTTAAATTTACTTGTTAAACTTTCAAATGAGCCTCATATAAGAGGCATTCATCAAGAAAAACTTAGGGCTCTTCTGGTTCAAGCGGAGGCGTTTGATTGGAATTTAATAGAAGCACAAATATTACAACAAATAATGGACTGGCACGTAATGAGTTGTAATCCAATGGTGCTTTTTTGTCAGGATCCGCTCGATATTGACTTCAGAGTTTTACAGTACGATACAATATTATTGTCAATTACCAAGTACAACTGTTTTTTAATTTTGTAGATTGCTTAAAACAATTTCACACTATCATCAGCAATTGCTACAAGATTCGCCATACTTGTTACAGAAACGTCACATTTATGTACGAAGTTACATCAAATTTTTATCCATTCTTGTAAATCGACATAAGCAGTTGGTGAGTTCGAAACAGAACAGTTTCAAGTTTATGATTAAATCGCAATTGAATCATTTTGATTTGGTCGTAAGAAGTGAATTAGAAACAACCGTTTTGCTAAGAGAATATTTTGGACTTCTTGTCATGGATGGTTTAAGTGCTGTAGCATTGAACTGTTTTGAGGAGTGGATTTCCAAAAAAACATCCGACAGCGTTGTGTTGAAGATTGTGTTGGAAGAACTTTCTTCCGCTGTTAGCGATTCCCAAGCTGTAGCTGTTCTGTACGAATGTTGCCTTGATAGTTATTTTAATAATAGTGGTACGTTTGTTAATTTTCCTTAAATTGTAATTTGAGATAATGATATTTTTTAAGTAAATCATTTGTCTGTGGTATCCTGGAAAATGGTTTCTAGTTATGTAACACCATTTGGACCAAAGCAGACAGAGTTGGAGAATATTTTAATTGAACAAGGAAAGCTTTTGGCGTTGAATGCATTAATTTATCAAAAAGTCAGTAACAATATAGATTACATGTCTTTGCTCAATTCACTATTACAATGGCTAATTGACATTAAGATAACGAAGAGAACAGTTGCGTCAGTACGCTCAGAGACAGCACTTGTTGAGTTAAGAGGATCTTTTGGACACCTTACGTTTGTTAACGAAACATTTTTCAGACGAAAGATTACAGTATGGGTTATATGGACTCTATCCTAAATATAGGGACTATGTGGACGTGTTTGTACTATTCTTGGGAATGATTGGACATGCCCTTATCGTAAGCGCAATGAATGTTCATTTGGGTGTGTTGGGGGATAAATTGTGCGAGATTTTGTGGCCCTACTTAAGGGATGTTTTCGCTCCTTGGATCGCCCCGTATTGGATGCAAAACGTTAAAGATAACATGCCTGCATGGATGCAGCAGTTAACAGACGATAGGGCAGTATTAACGCCCTGGATCCCCGCAGACGGACCGTATGCACAAAAAATGACGCATATGTTCTTCGAATGCCTTCAGTTTATTATACATACGTTACCAGGTATTTTTTTTATATATAACGTGTTTTTATTTTAAATTGTACGATANTAAATAAAAATTAATTAGAAATATCAAATAATATTTCAGAAGTGTTGTAACAGTTTGCTTAGTAGAGCGTCAAATAGTAGGTTTGAGCACTTCATTTTCTCTCTTCTGTCAGATGTTGGATAGTATTATTTTATTCATACTTAAGCGATTCCGTTCAGTTATGTTTACTAATATATTGTAAACGAAGAGGTATAAAAATTAAAATTGCAGAACATATGAACACTTCAACCAGCATAACAAATAAACTGATGCATCTCTGTGCTCATGCCATTCTTTTTAACGTACAGTTACTTTATTAAATTATTAATGAAACAAATTTTATTGACGGTAAAATCACAAAAAAATTCGAAAACCTACCATTATTTCTTACGAACTATTTATGACATCAACTTTTATACTTCCAAGCGGCCGAATAACGTGGAAAATTGTTATATTTTTCTACAAGTACGAACCCTCATTCCAAACCTTGATTTTGTGTAAGGTTTCATTAGGTAAACACGACAGGGGCGGCAGTCGGAACATGTTTTCTTTTCCTGTAAATCATCATCATCATAAGGTCATCAGTCCTAAGACTGGTTGGACGCGTACCTCCACTCTTTCCTATCCTGAGCTAAACTTCGCATTTCCCTAAAACTAGAACAGCCCACATCCTTAACTATTTGCGAACAGTAATCTAATCTAGGTCTACCTCTACCCCTCCTAACTCCTGTTTCTGCCTCTAATATGTCTCTGACTAGACCTTCATGCCTGAGAAGGTGTCCTACCAACCTATCTCGCCTATTTTTTATTGACTTCCATAGAGTCCTCTGTTCTCCTATTCTTTCCAATACCTCTTCATTTCTAACCTTTTCTACCCACGATATCCTCATCATCCGCCTATAACACCACATTTCGAACGCTTCTAACCTTTTCTTTTCCGCCGCTCCCACTGTCCATGTTTCACACCCGTACAACGCCGTGCTCCAAACATACACCTTTAACAACCTTTTTCGAATTTCTAAATTAACCGTTCGCGAGCATAGAAGTGACTTCTTTTTATTAAAGGCGACACGACCCTGCGCTATCCTCTGCTTTATATCCCTACTACTCCTTCCATCCTCACTTATCTGACTTCCTAGGTATCTAAAATCAGCCACTTCTTCTAATTTTTCGTCTCCTATCTTTATATTCGCTCTTTCCCTACTTTTTCTTCCCTTGCATATCAGTATTTTAGTTTTACTTTTATTTATTTTCATACAGTACTGATCTGTCAGTACCGCTTCCATTTTATTTAAAGCTATCTCTAGGTCCTCCTTGCTAGATGCTAATACTGCTATATCATCTGCAAATCTAAGCATACTAATCTTTTGCCCTTGCACATCTATCCTATCTACAGTTGTACTGTCTTTAATGATGTTGATGGCGTCTTCGATGTATAGATTAAAAAGTAGCGGTGACAGTGTGCATCTCTGCCTGACTCCCTTCCTAATATTTACTTCTCTATGCTGCATCCCCAGCTCCATAACTGCCTGTTGCTCTTTATACAAACTAAGTATCACTCTTCTACCTCTGTAACTCATCCCTACATTTTTAAATATATTTAACATCTTGTCCCATTTAACATTGTCAAATGCTTTCTCTAAATCTACAAATCCCATGTATGCACTCTTTCCTTTTTCTATCGTTTTCTCTATTGCTACCCGTAAAGCTAGAATGGCTTCCCGCGTTCCTCTATTTCTTCTAAACCCAAATTGATCTTCCCCTAATAGTTCTTCCGCCCTTTTTTCCATCCTCCTCTGTACAATTCTAGTTAAGATTTTTGACGCATGGGAAGTTAAGCTAATTGTTCGAAATTTCTCGCACCTATCCGCGCCCCTCTTCTTAGGTAATGTTACTACTACGTTCCGTTTATAATCCTCTGGGACTTTCCCCGTTTCGTAAATGTGACTAACTAACTTAAACATACGATCTCTAACCTCTTGTCCTGCATGTTTTAGAATTTCCCCCTGTATCCCATCTACACCTGGCGCCTTATTATTCTTTAAATTTTTTAATGCTACATCGAACTCTTCTCTCATTATGGGATAACCAAGCTCATCTATTTCCACACTATCTTCCTTCTCTAATATATCTCCTAACTCAGGGCCTGCGTAAAGGTTCTCTAAATATTCTTTCCACCTATCTGCCTTTTCCTCATTTTCTATCAACATGACCCCTGCCTCGTTTCTTATATTATTACTACTGTATCCTACATCTCTAAAATTCCTTTTAATTATATTATAAGCCTCATCGGTTTTACCTACTTCAAACTTTTCTTCTACTTCTTTACACATCCTATCAATCCACTGTTCCTTAGCTGCCCTACACTTCCTAATTATTTCCCACTTTATAGCTTTATATCTTTTTTGCCCTTCTTCGTCTGTCCTGTTTTTGTATTTCCGCCTTTCGTCTATTAATCCTACAATCTCATTTGTTATCCAGGGTTTCCTACTTTCGTTTTGTTTAAGACCTAGTACCTCTGTAGCTGCTGACTTTAGACACGTTTTAATGCAGTTCCATTCTGTCTCTATGTCCCCGTCATTCGTTTCTCCAGCCGCCATTAGTATTTCGTCTGTCATTTTACCTAGCCTATCACGCGCTTCGTTACATTTTAGCTTTTCTAAGTCGAGACGTCTCCTACCTGCCCTCTTTTTCAGAATTTTGAATTTAAGATTGGTCTTCATAACTACTAAATTATGATCGCTATCTATATCTGCTCCTGGATAACTCCTACAGTCCTTCACTTGATTTTTAAATCTTTGCCTAACAAGTATGTAATCTAACTGATATCTCCCTAAATCACCTGGCATCTTCCACGTATAGCGCCTCCTAACGTGATGGTTGAATAAAGTATTCGCGACGGTTAAGTTATGTTTATCGCAAAATTCTATCAGCCTATCTCCCCTATCATTTCTATTGCCTAATCCAAAAGAACCTGCTATTGCACCCACTTTACCTTCACCTATTACTGCGTTGAAATCTCCTAAAACTATTAGGTTGTCCTGTCCTTTCACTAAACTTAACACGTCTTCTATATCTGCATAAACTGCTTCTACGTCTTCATCACTGTAAGATGATGTAGGCATGTAGATCTGCACTAATACCGTTCTTACCGGCTTTGAGTTTAATTTAACCATAACTATCCTATCGCTTTTTTGTAAATAACTTTCTACACTCTGCCCTACTTTCCTACGCATTACAATTCCTACACCTGAATTACCTTCTACAGATCCTATATGTATTACTCTAAAGTCCCCACTCCAGAAGTCTCCAGTTTCGGCCAATCTATCCATCTCTATTTTTAAATTTTCTAATTTCCCTACCTGCCTCATTGTTCTAACATTCCACGCTCCGACTTGTGAAACATTGCACCTATCCCTATTGCACTTATTACTTATTCCTGTAAATGGAAAATTAAATTTTAAAATGTTAAACACGCTATCCAGTCCTAATTTTCGTATTATTGTAGTCCACATCCATATACTACTCAACCCACTGAAAATCAGAAGAGAGAAAGTGAGATGCTGAAATCCACTAACTGACGTTTTGTAAACTTTAAGAGTTATTTTAACGAGTCAAGTTTTAGATTACATAAAAAAGTAATTTCTCTATATTTGGGAAATTAATAAACAAAAAAAAATTAAAAATATATTTTTTGAATAATCTTGTTTTGANATTCTCCTTTTTTAGATTTAAGTTTTTGTGCAAGGCATTATGTGCATATATTTTAGCACAATTACCTGACACAAAAGGGGATTTCCCCCTTATTAGAAAACATGCTGGAGTCCCAAGTGTAGTAGGCCATCCCGGAGGAAATAAAGACTGTGGTAAGCTCCTACTCAATTTGGAAATGGGCCAGTCTCAAGGAGAAATAAAAAGTGTCGCCGAAGTGGCGCTTAAACAGGTCTCGTATCTATTTATTAAACATATTTTTTGCTTATTTAAGTAAATATTTATAATTTAGTTATTGTATAATTGATTATTTATTTATTGATAAAGAGAACAGTTTAAGGGGATCTACACACGTCCCGATCAATTGTTATAACCATCCAAGTAACACAATAAATTGTAGTGTATGTAGGCTTGTCGAGCGATAAAATTTTTAAGGTAGGGGCGGATGTTCGGACAAAATTACCCAATGGCCGATATCTACTAAAACATTGAACTGTGTTAGATTTTACTATTAATCTTTCTCCAGCATTTACTGCTTCTCTCATTATTAATATGTTATGTTTTTCTATATCTAATATCGCACTATACTTTAATAATTCTGAAAACACCTTGTTCATTCGTAAAGAAATGCGGAAATCATCACCTTGTATTTTTTATTTTTGTATTCACTTTTTTATCCAAATTTTTCTTGGATTATCTTCACTGATATGAGAGGTACTAACGTAATTCCAAAAGTATAATAGTGTAGGCCACTTTTTACACACATCACTTGGAACTTTTAACAAGTAATGGTTTAAAATATCACGATACATTCAGCTCAATTGTTGCCTCAACTGACTTGGACTGTGTATAACCCCATTATAAAGCCGATATGTAAATTTCAAACGCAAAATGCTTTTATTAGGTAGCAGCACAGAAATGTTATTAACAATTTAATTATATTTTTAGATTCAAGATCCAAATAATTCGTTGCATAATGCAAACGCCTTTTTAACGAACTTAGTGACGAGGCTCTATACAAAACCTTATTTAAAAGGCATCGGTTGTAATTTGTTTTAATAGAAAAATTATTTTATTTGAAAGCATTGAAATATGTAACTTGCTTTACATTTATCTTTATTGTTAAATTTTATATTTCTGTATTTTTTAGTTTAATAATAAATATGCCAATTTTTTATTCTTTTAAATATGATGTGATTTTTATAAAGTAATGCATAAAACACAGTATGTGTTTTTATTAATTTTTAATCTACATATAATTTACAAACATCTTCATATTGTACATTAGTAACTTTACGTCCTTTTAAAACTCCAGAAGCAATTTCAATGTCTACGCAAAAACGGTCTTCGTGGATATCTTTTAATATTGCATTTTCATCTCTATAAGCACCATTTACAACATGTACTAATTTTCCAATTGCAGGTAATACAGTTTCTAAGTGTTCTTGGTCTATTTTTACTTTCTTTCCCAGATCAAGTAATTTAACGATAGCTACATAACGGCTTTTCAGTTCTGTTATTACACCTTTTTGTTTATAAAATTCTTCACCAAGAGATTTTGTTACAATTTTTACAATGATGCCTTCAGTTAACCAATAATCTTTGCGATTATTTTTCTCTCTGAAAGCCTCTTCTTTTGCAATTATTTCATCTAGTGCAGATTTTGGCTTTGAATCATGTTTATCCTTAAATTTTTTTCTTTGTTTTATTTCAGAATTGCTGCCCTCTTCTTCTCTTGCCTTTAAAAGTTTATTTAATGGTACAACTGGTTGTGAACAACTTACTTTTGTTTTATCCAATTTTATATCTAAAATTAATTTCTCATCTTCATTTCTTATAAGTTCAGTGTAAACTATTTCTGTTGGTGATACTTCCTGCTCCTGTCCTCTTTTTACTTGCTTTTCTATAAATTCTTGTAAGCGTTCTTCATCATCCTTATCTAACTTCAATTTTTTGTTTCTTCTCTCTTCAGCAGCTATCGTTTCTGGATCCCTATCAATGTAAGTAATAAACCAACCTTTTTCTGTTTCATCAACTATACACTTTCCAGTCCTTCCAAGCCATTTAACAAAACCTGTTAAAGTGACCCATCTTGTAGAGTTCATATGTAAATGGTTTCTATCCGAAATATATTCCTGATACACTCTGTTTGCATTTACACGTTTAGTTCCAAACTGTCTTCTTAAAATATCTAAATATCCTTTAGCAAAGTCATATGAAAATTCGTCCATGTATTTTTTAGCATTGTCAGCAAATAGTAGAAGTTGCCTCTGATGTGATTCGGACATAGTGTGACATTTGAAACCGTTTTCATCTCTGCACTGTTTCTGACACATCTGGCAATACCATCTCAATTTTTGAAGACCTTTTGCCTTCATTTTATTAGCAATATATTTTGGAGTTCCAACTTCTGCACGGGGCATTTTAAATTTTTGCTGTAACTGGTTTCACAATATAGTCCTGCAATTTGAGAGGTTATCTCAACACTGCCTTTTTTATTTTTACGTAAAAAAATTAAGAAATTACTGCTAAATTGTGCACAACCGCAATACTACACGTATTACTAAATTAATTTAATGAACATTTACAGTTAATATTCATGTTATTATGTTATTTGTCGTTCGTCATAGATAGTTATTCGTTTATCATTATCATAGATCATCATCATCATGTTATCCATAGACAAGAACATAAGACAAGAATGTCATCATGATCATGTGGATTGTACAAGCAAAAAACAGCGCCACTAGGCTACTACCAGTAGCGTTGAAGAGACATCGACCAGAAATCATAGATAAATAGATATACAAAGAATAATAAAACAACACATGATCAGAAACATCGACGTTTACTAATGGACATGCCTTAGCGGTCAGAATTGTGATACAACAAAAGAAAGAGATGGAACGAAGTTTCAGACAATATCCATCTCTCTCACGATAGTGTGTCAGCGTGTCATGAAAGAGATACCACTAGTCCAAAACCATACGTCATCTCCCTTACTTTTCGAGCCAAGAAATTATTACAACGACATACGGCTAAGGCACGTCCATTAATATATGTCTATGATCAGAAATCAGAACTAGTTGTCTGGCCATACGACTAGAGCGGCCATGTTTATCTTTTACCGAGGCCAACACGCTTATATGAGAAATGTGTTATATATGGTATATAACAGATATATGTTACATTTATAAAGTAAGATAGTTATAACAATTAGGTTAAACAAACATTCCCTATCTGTTATTTCATATGTTCAACCATAGAAGTAGTGGTCGTTCAAAGTGGCGCTACCTAATCAGTGAGGTAGTAAACGGGAACTAACAAGGAAAAAGTGCGGTAAGCCAGTCTCCTACCTAGACTAGGAAATAGATGTAAAACTCTCGAGATTTGGACGATAGTAGTGACATCTAAGTATACCCCACGTTAGTAGACGATACTTGGAATATATATATAAACGGTACTGGCAAAGAAAACTTCGAATTTCACTGCCATATATACATCAAACTATGAAGCGTAACCAAAGGCGCGCATTTCAAAATTACACCAAATTTTATTTTTTTTTGTTTTAAATGGAAATTGAAAAAAAAAAAAAAAATAAAATTAACAAATTTAATAACAAAGTATAAATGCAGTAATAAATATAATTAGCACAATATACGAGTAAATAGCAAACATCAATTAATTAAAATATAGATACTAATACAGGTATATTTGTATGAACAAAGAAATTGTTCTTTACCTAATTTAGTACTGCTTCCTGCTTCTACAGGGGGTGCTAACGATTCAGAAACTGCAGAAATACTAGCTTCTGTATTGTCCATTGGGAGTGTACTTTCTATAACAAATAATTATATATGTTTTGGATATTTGAAACTGTTATCTGCATAACTACCTGCAGTTGAAACAATTCTTCTTTTCCCGTCATATGTTTTCACTGGATGCAGTACTTTTTCATCTTTTAATGGGGCAATTCCGTCTGCTTCTATTCCTCTACCAGAAGAAGTTCTACAAAACATTTTTTTTTAGAACTTAAGTTTCACAACAACAAATTACAATACCTGCCACTTTCGTTGAAACCGCTGTTACTTCAGGAAAATGGAAAGCGGCTTCTTGACCTTTAACTCCTGCAGGAGCTGTATAATCTATTTCAAATTAATTTGACCCCGTAATAGTGTAGACTGTACATCACGGTTTTTCTGTGTTGGGCAGAAAACATCCTTTCTTTACTTATTGTAAAGCATGATTGAAGTACTTAATATATTACTTACTTTCAGGATAGGTAAAAGTACTTTTCACAAAAATTTTAAAATATTACAAGTTGTGAAACTACTCACTATTGCTCAATAACGCCACAACTACTGGGGAATTCCTCCGATAATCGCAACCGCCGTCGCATCATCTGTTGTCGTTTCAGTAAAATGTATGTCGCCTAGTATGTCGGTAATGTCGATTTTGGTAATTTAAAAAATTTAAAAACTTACGTGGGGTAAACTTAGGTGTCGCTCGCGCTCGACATTTCATACCTTGGTCTCCTAGCCAGTCTCCTATTGTCGTCGTCTTTAGTGAGTTGTGTCGTCGTCATATGCGTTGTTCAAGTTTACCTATATCACTGTTAGTCGTCAATACTTGTGAATATTTCTAGTGGTTTTTGTATTCCGAAGAACATGTTAAATTTACGTATATTTTCTTCCATATATGTTCTTGTTTTTTCTGGTCTGTCACTGTCTGGTGACAGATCAGAAAAAATATGGAAGAAAATATACGTAAACTTGTAAATATTGTATATTTTGTAAATAAACTGTTTGAACCACCAGAGTATAGTTAGTTAGGTATAGTGTACAAGTCGAATACATAACAGTTTGGCGACGAGGATTTTGTCGAACCGCGTGGGTACCATACAAAAGAAAATCTAGTATGGGCGCCCTTTAGACTATAAAAACATTAGTATAGGTGCGTGTGTACATATTTTCTTTCTTTGTTTTAATACTCGAATTTAAGTAGAGTATTCGTAAGATACAACAACAGAAAATTGGAACAAAGAATCAACAGTTATTCATACAAAATGGTGGACAACGGAAATGGAAGCAATGGAGAAGCCGCCTTCAGCAACGTGGTGTTTCAGCCAATATTTTCATCTCTAGCCTGAGTTTTGCTTCATCAATGGCATTGAAGATGAAATACCACATGTGGAGGGCTACGTAATACCGCCACACAAGCAGAAGAGGGTGTTATTTTTGTCTTATATAGGTCACAAAACATATCAATCGTTGCACACAAGCTGTTTACCATTGAAACCACGTGATAAGTCATTGTCGCAGCTAATACAAATTATAAAAGAAAGGTATGAACCTAGAAGTATATTGGCAACGTGCAGGTATAACTTAAATCAGAGAGTGCAAAGAGACAATGAGTCTGCCACAGATTTCATAGACGCATTGATGGAACTTGCAATTCCATGTGAATATGGGGCTCACCTTGACGATACATTAAGGGACAGAGTTGTTGTTGGTATCAAATGTAATGACACAAGGAGGAAACTTCTCAGCACTCCAAATCTTAATCTGGAAATGGCAAAACAGATTATTTTGCAAAATGAGGTAATCCAAATTCAGTCGCGTCTATTAGCCAGGGCTCTTCCAGTCAACAATATCCAAAGAAATCTCTCCAGGAAACCGTCCCATAATGCAACACCAAAATTTTAATCGTCAACCCAACCACAGCCAATATAACAATAGACAACAAATGAATCAACCACTCACAGACAGTCAGCACAAGCTACCAGTAACCCAACTACCCAGCCCAAACAAAATGCCAATACAAATAGGCAACAACCAAATAGTTGTTATCGATGTGGTCGCTTGCATAACCCAAATTTCTGTCCAGCAAAAAATTGGCAGTGCTATCTGTGTAATAAAATGGGGCACACTTCAAAGGTATGCAGAAGCAGAAATAGAATCAATACGGTTTATGATGTAGCATCAACGTCCCAGAATTCAAGCCAGCATATGTCGACACCCACTCAATCAACTGAAGAAGAATTGGTGGATTTTCTTTTGTTATCAGAGATATTCCATATCAACACCATACAGGATGAAATAAAAAACCAAGACCACATAAACGCACCTAAAGTCAACCACATGGAAACAACAAATAAACCAGCAGTAGCCAATATCGTTGTAAACAATAAATCTGTTTTAATGGAAATAGATTCAGGTGCAGGCAAAACCCTAATAACTGATTCAGATTTCGATACTCTATTTCCCTAACATCCTATATCCAATTCTTCAGTATCTTTAAAATCAGGACCAATTAAAGTGATTGCACAAGCAGATGTGGAAATTGGAATCAAAGAAAATCAGTTTAAAGCAGAAATAATAGTTTGTCATGCAGACAGTCCCTTCCGTCCATTACTAGGTAGAGACTGGTTAGATCTCTTATTTCCATCATGGAGATCACATTTTACAATTAACCACGTCAATAATTACACGGATATAGTAGAAGTCCTGAAAAGTAAATTCCCCAAAGTGTTTGATAACACGTCCAGCAAGCCCATAACTGCAGTCAAAGCACAAATAGTGCTCAAATAAAATGTACAACCCATCTTCCATAAGGCATACAATTTGCCATTTGCTCAACTAGAGATAATTGATACAATATTAGACAACCTGGAAAATAAAAATAAAATCTATAAAGTCACCCATTCCGAACATGCATCACCTTGCCTCTTAGTTAAAAAGAAAAATAATGCGGGCATGAGATTATGTGTCGATTTTAAAAGAACACTGAACAAGCAAATTATGGTCGACTTTTATCCATTACCTAAACCCGAAGATATATAACTTAAATAATGGAAAATTCTTCACAGTCTTGGACTTGTCTGATGTCTATACCCAATTGGAACTTGATGAAAGGTCCCAAGAACTAGTCACAATCAACACACATAGAAGACTATACAGGTTCAGGCGATTTATATATGGTCTAGCAAGTGCGCCTGCAATCTTCCAAAAATCCATGGACTATATATTGAACGGCATTCACAGGTTTCTTGCTATATCGATGACATACTCATCAAGAGAAGCGATAAACAAGACTGTTATAAAACAGTTGTAAAAGTACTCGACAGGTTAAACAAGTTAGGAGCTCAAATTCGCGAAAGCAAATGTACATGGTTCGTTAATAAAGTAGAGTACTTAGGGTTCACCATATCCGAAAAAGGTCGTCAGCCATCTGTATCAAAAATTGAGGCAATTGAAAACACTAGAGTACCACAAAACCAAAGGGAGGTAAGATCCTTTCTAGGATTGTTAAATTTATATGCTATATTCATACCTAACTTGACATTTATGTGGTTAACGGAATGTGAAAAAGCATTTCAGTTATGTAAGAAATCTTTAACATTAGACTCGTTACTTGTACATTACGACCCAACTTTATCAATAGTAATTAGCTGTGACGCTAGTCCAGTAGGTTTAGGAGTAGTCCTAGCTCATGAAATCAAACTTAAAGATACAATAGTAGAAAAACCAGTCATGTTCACTCACAAAACCCAACAAAACTACTCTCAGTTAGACGAAGGTCTGGCGATAATAATCGCTATTACTAAATTTAGAAAATTTTTATGGGAACGTAAGTTCACTATCGTCACAGACAATGCTCCCACAAAACATATACTACATCCGGATAAAGGAATACCAGTTTTGTCAAGTCACCGTCTACAACATTGGGCAGCAATCCTGGAAGCACATGACTACAACATTGTGCATCAAAAAAGTGCCTTATTATCTCCACCAGATGCTCTGTCGCGACTACCCACAACAGCTACAATAGAGGATATACATTTCTCTGTAGAAATGAATTCTCTGCCACTCAGTACATATGACATCAAACAAAAAACAGCTGAAGACCCCATCCTAGCAAAAGTATTAGAAAAAAACAGAATTAGGTGGCCAAGACGCAACGAGGACTCAGAAATAGAACCCTTTTATAAAATGAAGGATCAGTTATTCATAGAAGACAAATCCTTAATGTTTAATAATAGAGTTGTGATCCCCTTGTCCTTACAAGCAAAAATAATAAAATTATTACATGAGGGACATCTAGGTATAGTACGTACAAAACTACTAGCGCGTTCAACCGTATGGTGGCCTCAAATGAATTCCGACATCGAAACATTCTGTAAGCAATGCGAGGCTTCTTCAAAAATTAACTTCCAACACCATACAAGCACGTCACCATGGCCAAAAACGTCAGTACCATTTCAGAGAATTCAAATAGACTTTTAACTTTTTGGAATTTAGCGAGTATCATAATTATATAGGACCAATGGGATAAACTATACAAAAATGGCGTAATAAATTTATCAGCAACTTGGATAGATGGAAAAGACAGAAAACTGATTGAAAACAAATTAATACACTATAACTTTTTACTTGTCAATGCAAGAATGGAAGGGAAAAGGGGAAGGTTAAAAAGATGCGAAAATTTATATGTTAAATTGAAGAATTAATCAAATGTGTGTATATGAGAGATAAAAGGAGCGATACTTAAGAAAAAGTTGAAAAAATATTGGGAGGACAGCATGGAAGAATACATGCCACGTGTAGGCAATACAACACACGCAGTCACAAAAACGAGATAATGCGTTTATGAAATAATAGACCGTAATAAATAAATAATAGTTTAAGTCATACTGCATGTACTCGTCTGCAGGTAATCATCATTATAGTAGTATTTACACTGATAAAAAAATTGTAGTAAATAGAGTGGAAAATGAATTCGAATGTCGTAACGTTGTCAGATACAAGATTGTTTTGATATTTTTAAGGTATTATTATTTTGAAATGATCAGTTTAGAGAAATGGCTATAAAATGACAATACAAACGAAATTGTTCTGATAAATCTTCATTAAAAGTTGGCAATTGCTACATGAATAGATTCAAACTCATACGTTTAGCATCCACCGATTTAGGTATAAAAAATGACGGGTGTAATAAAAACAACACATTATACCGTATTTCCTTTGTGACAACCCTACAATTTTTATACTTAGTGTTTTTTATTAAAGTTTACTTTTGTGAATAATAGCGGCCGTACATTGTTGTGTGTATGATAATTTAACAAATTCAAGAAGGACACAATTAGTTAAATTTTGGTTTCTCTCTGCAGTAGAAACGCAGTTTAGCTATTTCTAAGTTGGGTTCTTTAGATTTAGATCAGAACACCCTATCTGCTACAATAAATCAATATGATCATTTACTCCTTTAAACATGTCTCCACCAAATGCCAAGAGACTTACAATTAGGGTTGCCACTTTTTTTATATTAATAAAGGACGTTGGTTATAAAAGGTATAAAAAAAGTATGCTGTGTCAAAATAAAGTACAATTTATTTTATTCTATTATTTTGCTTAAAAACATATTTTTCATTACTTTTAGCAACTTTTAATAAATAATTATCACTGCTAAACAATTGCACAGCATTATTACAGTGTAGATTTGAGTTAAAGTAAATAAGTAGTTCATTTTTAATCAAATTTAGAGACGCTTTATTTCTTGCGTCTCGCCATTTGTTAAATCGGCACTCGCGTATACAAAGATATTATTTTACCATTATTCGCTTCACACCGACAA